TATGATAAATGGGGGGAGGTAATTCAAACAAGAGTCAAAATACTTTAAATAATCCTTAATATGGGTTCAGTTGGTACAGTACTTGCCTAATGAAACTCTGGGTTCCATCCCAACACCTCATAAAACTGGGGACACTGGCGTGTGCCTGTAATTCAGGGTCATCATCAGCTACCTAACGAGCTCAAAGCCAGCCTGGGCTACATGAGACTATTTCAAAATAAAAACAAAAAAAGGTTTAACATAAAAGAAGCCTTTACAAAAAGACAAATACCTAAAAAAGTATGGGGGAAACGGTATATCTTTAACAAACAAATAAACAAAAATCAATGGGGATGGGCATGGTGGTACACACCTTTAATCCCTGCAGCACTCTGGAGGCAGAGGCAGGAGGATCTACATGAGATCAAGGCCATCCTGATTTAAAGAGAGAGTTACAGGCCACTTGGGGCTACAGGGAGACCCTGTCTCAAAATAATAACAATAACAATAATAATAAAAAGTTAATGGGACTGCAAAGGGGAGAGAAATGCCAAAAATAGTCAAGTTGGCAAAAATTAAAAAGGAGTAATTTCCCTAGACTGTCAACAAAACCGAATTTTGTAAGCCAAGTACTATTAATGGAAAAGAAATTCACCCTAAGAGGTAATGACAAAGGACTTGGGCTATAATTCAGAAGCAAGGTGATTGCCTAGTGTATATGAGGCCCTGGGTTCAATCCCTAGCACCTCTCCTGCCAAAACCCGGGGTGGGGGTAGGCAAAAAGATGAAGCATGAGACTATGCACTGAAGCATGATTTACAAGAGAAAAACTTAAATACCATCAATGGACTTGATTAAATAAATGACACTCATTGATGACAAAATAGGTTTGTTACAGAAAGATATTAGCATTGTTGGGGAAAATGTAGATCATAAAACAGCATATATATTGCAGTAATGCATATATATAAATTTTTAGATTCCATATAAATATGTATATTAATAATGACGATATTTAACAAAATATAACCAGTAATTATCTTTCACAGACATAAATTTGGGGTGATTATTATGTTTATCTTCCTTTTTATTCCAAATGATCATCTGACACTTTTTATGACAGAATCATTTTCATAATCTTTTCAGCATGATTGTTTTTGCAACTATCACTTCTAGAAATAGCTTTTAAAATTTTTTTAATTTACTTAATTTATTTATTTTATCTTTTGGTCTTTTGAGACAGGGTCTCCCTGTAGCCCCAGCTGTCCTGGAACTCACTATGTAGACCAGGTTGGCCTTGAACTCACAGAGATCCACCTGCCTCTGCCTCCCAAGGGCTGAGATTAAAGATGTGCACCACCACGCCCAGCTGATTTATTTTAATTTTATGTGTATGAGTGTTATGCCTGCATGTCATGCAGTGCCCTCAGAAGACAGAAAAGGGCATCGGATTCCCTAGAACTGGAGTTATGGTAGTTGTTAGCCACCACGCAGGTGCTGGGATTCAAACCCAGGTCTTCTTCAAGAATAGCCAGTGCTCTTAACCACTAAGCCATCTCTCTCCAGCCCCAGAAATACCTTTTACACATGTTATTTTATACACTGTCTTATATGCACCACAATGTGGACAACAATTTCACTTACTGATAAAATACTGGGATTACTAGGAAGAGAGGGCTTGACCCATGCTAGGTAAAGGCTTTCCAGTGTGCATACCCTCAGGTCATTTATACACCTCAGCAACCCTTCACTTATCTCAGTAAGTAAGCTCTGTAAATTCATTAGAACCTTAAAAGGAATAAGCACTGCTTAGTATCCTAAGGAAAAGAATTCTCACACAGGTGGAAATTTTATTTCTTAATGTTATCATGTCTTATAATTATTAAAAAAAGAAAATGAGTGGCTGGGCATGGTGGCACATGCCTTTAATCCCAGCACTCAGGAGACAGAGGCAGGCAGATCTCTGTGAGTTCAAGGCCAGCCTGGTCTACATAGTGAGTTCCAGGACAGCTGGGGCTACAGGGAGACCCTGTCTCAAAAG